AAATGAAACCGTCTCGGTTAAAGGATAGAGTAAGTTTCATGGTAGAAGAAAGATTGTGTAAACGAAAAACAAATCAATTAGTTTCCAAATATTGTAAGTCAAAAACAGATTTTTCAGATTTTGGGCTAATGAGTTTTCAAAAAAAAGTTGTTGCCATGGTGGTAAAATAAATATTTCACCTTTGAAAGATTACGATGAAAAATTAAAAGCTCTTTTATATAACAAAGATTTCCGACCATTAATTAGATATTACAATAATTCGTTTTCTTTTGTAACTTTTCATGCAAATACGGTAAAGTTTCTAAATAAAGGAGTTTATAATTTAAAAATTTAGGGTCAAATTTATCATACCACGCCTAATACTATTTTTGTTAAGAAAGGAACAAAACCTTACTTAGGACAAATATATATTTATGATGATTATACTGCATGTTTAGAAAGATTAAAAAATAATAAACATTTGGTTCAAAAACATATAGAATTGTTAAAAAATATTTTAAATAAAAATCCATATGCTATTAAATATAAATCTTTATATCAGTTATCACAACATAATTTGATTTCAGAATATTCGTTGTGTTTTGTTAATAAAATTAATTTAAATAAAACTGTATATAACAAGCCAAAAACTGGTGAATGTGCAGCATTAATAGTTTCAAAAAATGGAACAGTTCCAAGAGAAATAGATTTTAAAGTATATCTAAAAGATATCCCGAATGGAACACAGAATGATACAGTGTTAAAGAAATTATCGTTTCATTTAGATCTAATGACATTTTCTATTATGTTTCCATCTGGTGATTTAGGATGGAGTCCAGATTTTAAACAAAATTTTAAAAGTAAAAAAAGATTAATAGCTCTGCAATATTATTGTTACAGATTAGCTTATCGTCCTAATAAAAAATTTAATCCTATTTTATATTGCGGTATGTTAACTCAGCAATATGTAATTCAGGCTTATATAATAATTGAAAGCAATAGATTAAATTTCTTCCGTTTTAATCAAAATATATTAAGAATAGAATGTTACCAAGGATTAGTTGATCATATCTCGAATAGTGCCCTTAATAATTCAAAAAATTTTGAAAATAAAGAACGTTTAGGAAATATGTTTGTCTTACCATCTACCCATATAGGTAGTCCTAAGTATATGCATCAACTTTATCAAGATGCTATGACTATAAACCGCGAAATTGGTAAACCAGATTTATTTATTACAGTTACATGTAATCCAAATTGTCCTGAATTAAAAAGAGTGCTGAAAAATTTTCCACCAGGAACAACATGTAATGATATTCCGAATATTACTGTTCGTTTATTTCATGCAAAATTACGTTGCATAATATCCGATATTTTAAGTGGAAAGGTATTTGGAAAAATTTTAGCATATGTTTATACAATAGAGTTTCAAAAAAGAGGATTACCTCATTCTTATTTGTTATTTGTTCTAAATTATAAAAATATTAAGTACACGGAAAAAATTTTGGTGCACCGGTTGTACTGGTTAGTTAAAAAATTGTTATACTTTAAAAAAGGACATCAGTTATCCCGGTTTGCTGCAACCTATGTCCTGTACAGTGCATCTGATGGCCCTTAAAGCGCTTCCGACGCGCCAAATCAGGATAACAGTTGCCCGCAACCCATAGTACAACAGTTCTACCGTAGATTGCGCATCTAATACACCAAAATTTTTTCCGTGTATGAGCATATATATTAGTAAATAAATGAAACGAAAATAATAATTTAGACTACGAAATTAATGACTAAATTACTCAATATGAAAACTGTCGATACGTTAGTCCTATGGAAGCTGCATGGCGAATATAAGAATTACCTTTATCAGGACGTTCACATTCTATTATTCGACTAGCTGTCCATACAGAAAAACAGCAAAATATAATTTTTGAAGAAAATAAGGAACTAGAAGCTTTAAAAAAGAATAATGACACTACACTAACTGCTTGGTTTACATTAAACAAAAACGATAAAAATGCTAAAAACATTAAATATTCTAATATACCAAAATTTTATTTTTTTGATAAGAATAACAAAATTTTGAAAAAACGACAAGAATTTTCTAAAGCTTCAGGTAGAATGAATAGTGTCAGCCCAAAAGATATTGAAAGATTTCATTTAAAATTAATTTTAAATAGGGTTACCGGAGCAAAATCTTTTGAAGAATTAAAAAAATTTGATAATGTTGTTTATAATTCATTTAAAGATACAGCAATAGCAATGAGATTAGTGGAAAATGATATTCAGGTTTTTAAAATTTTTGAAGAAGCGTGTAGTATTATGATGCCAAGAGAATTAGGAAAATTTTTAGCATGGTATCTTATTGCAGACAATACTCATGTAGTTACCAAAAATTTGGGATAATTTTAAGAAATATTTTTGTGAGGGATTTGAGGATAAATATGAACAAAGAGCTCTGCAAGATTTTGCATTACCAGATCCGATATATACCGAAGAAAAAAAACAGTAGAGGAAGAAAGATTATTTTTACTTCAAAATAAAGAATTAGCTATTGATTTAATAAACCAATTAAACAGTGACCAAAGAGAAATTTTTGATATTATTATACAAAATATGAATTCAATGTATGTTATTTACGGGCCTGGAGGATGTGGAAAAACATTTCTCTATAAAACACTTATATATTATTTTTTGGGAGAAGGGAAAAAAGTAGTATTAATGGCATGGACTAGAATAGCATCAATTTTACTACCTGGTGGTATGACCAGTCACAGAACTTTCAGATTGCCATTAGATTTATCCAATATTGAGACAACTTTTTTAAAATTAAAGTCAGATAAAAAAAATTACGTGAATGTGATGTAATAATTTAGGATGATGCTTCCATGATACCTAAAAAAGCTTTAGAAATCGTTGATCAAACATTACGAGATTGTTGCAAACTTGAAAATTTACCTTTTGCTGGAAAGTTAATAATTTTAGGGGGAGATTTTAGACAAACTTTACCAGTTTTAAAACATGGATGTCGAATAAATATAGTAAAAGATTGCATTAAGTATTCACATTTGTTCAACAATTTCAAAAGAAATTGATTTGTCAGACAGAGTAATTCTTTCCAGTCACAACGAAGACATTTATAAATTAAATTATAAAGTATTAAATAAAATAAACAATAAAGAAAAAATTTATTATAGTATCGATTATGCCAAGAATAAGGGGGTAGATCAAACAGACGATGATGTGCAATTAAATTATCAAGTAGAATATTTTAATTCATTAAATTTGCCAGGGTTACCGGTTCATAAATTAATTTTAAAAGTGGGAGCTATTGTAATGCTTATTAGAAATTTAAGTATAAATGACGGTTTATATAATGGAACTAGAATGAAAATTATAAATTTAGATAAATTTAATTTAAAAGTTATATTGATTACTGGAATAAAAGCTGGTAGCACTGCATTTATACCAAGAATTACTTTAAGCTGCTTCTACAATAGGTACAATTTGTGTTGCACAAGTGCAAATAAATTGTACTTGGTTGCGCGCGCATCGTAGTACCAACTGTCGCGAGTTACAGCAAGAAATGGTTGTCTCCAGTTTGGATTAAAATGTGCAGAGTGTGTTGATTGGAAACCAAACCATTGGAGTTGTATTTATTTTTTAAAATTTTTTAACGACATGGATGACATTAACCTTTTTTTAATTAAATTGATTAAAAAAGAACCTGTCATTTTTGACAAATCGTCGAATTATTATAAAGATGTCACAAGGAAGAGAGAAGCTTGGGAGAGGATAGTGAAGCAGTTCAATGACAATACTGGGTGCAATGTTACAGGTAATTATGTTTACCCATAATGCATAATTTTAATATATATACTGTTGTAAACAGTTTTTTTAGTCTTCTTAAACCACTTTGTTTTTTAAGACTTATATGTTACGCTTCGCGAAGAAAATAACCTAAGTAAATTATTTGAAGGTTATGTTTGTGTCAGTTTAAAATTGATTAAATTTATTTGATATCGCTCATTTCTCCACTGATAATTTGGCCAGTAGAGGAATGAACTCATTCCTCCACTGGCTAAACCACCACCAGTGCCTAGTGTACAATAATACTATTTCACCGAAGGCGTTGGACAAAATATTTTATAGCGCTTTTCTTGAAAACACATTTTTTCAAAGATATATTTCATCCTTTTTATAATTTTTAATATGTGTCCTTTTTTTAATGCAGTGAAGCAAGCACAAGGAAGGTGGCGAATTTTGAAGGAAAATTATTCAAAAGAAAGAGCTGCGTTCAAGCAGCATACTCCATCAGGATCCGCTGCACAACGCGGACCAGAATAGATATATTTAAATGATATGTCCTTTATGGAGCCTATAGCTGAGCACATGTTGTAAGGATATAATAATAGAATTCATTATTATATTAATGTTTATAATAATAATAATAATAATAATAATAATAATAATAATAATAATTGTCTTTCAGCACTGTCGAATCCTTTGGCGGAGCGTACTCTGCAGTAGAGGAAGAACGAGAAGAAGAAGAAGAAGAAGAAGAAGAAGAAGAAGAGATGGAAGAAGAAGAAGACGAAACAGAGAACGAAGGTGGAAATATATTTTTTTATTTAATACAGGCCTCTGATTATACGTTTTTTTCGACTTTATAATACTTCTTTCAATGAATGCGACTTTTCTAGACTTTAATAAATCCAGATTAAATTAAGTACAATTTTGGTAGTGGGTTTAAAAAGAACCACAATCTCTGTGAACCGACTTTTGAGATTATACTTCTTAAGAATAGGAAAAGAAATATAAGAATAAGAGTCCTTACAGGAAATCAAGAAATTTTTGTATTTTAAAAAAAATATTTAAATTATGTATTTCTGAAACCCCCTCTGTTTTTCACAATTTTTGATAAAGTTCCATAATACAAGATCCATGGTACTAAAATTGGTTTAAATTTCAGCAAAATCCATCTTTCGAATGAAACATAAAAAAATAATAATAATTTACACTTTCAGATATTTTCTCCAACTTCCCCCTGCCTGAAACATGTGTTCCTTCTGCTCAAGATTTTTCTGCAGCCAGCAGTGAATTTTCGCGGGAAAGAATACGAAGAGAGAAAGCAATTGTTATACTGGACAGTTGGTCGCGTGTCCCGGAAAGAAACAGGTTTGCCTGCTACCAAGATTTGACATCGTTAATAAAGAAAAGCAATAACGAAGATAAATAAAATGTAGTTATTTTATGTATAATTTTTTTAAAAATATATGTAAAGCAGTTTGTCACATCTGTAACATTTTGATTCTGAAACAATATTGTTCAAGTATCTATTGCTAGTATTCATTTTCCTTGGAGTTCGTGGTTTTTGCTTCTGTAATTTTTATAATAAATACTTTTTTAAAAAAAAATACTTATCTACTATTTCTTTTCTTGTAATAATATATGAATAGGAGACTAAAATAAAAGATTTACTCTTAATATTAGAAAATAAAGAAAATTAATTTCTTAGAAAGAGCAATAATTTTTTTTATTGTTATTGAATTTAGAAATTTATTTGTCTACAAAAAATACATTATAATTTAGGTTTTTAAAATAAAAAAAAAATTTAAGTAAAATCAATTTTCAAGTAGTCGACAGTTTTTAATTTTTAAAAAATCTTCTCTTATGTCCAAATGACCCCGGTGTGTAGAATTTTTAATGCCAGAGAGATGTGGCAAATGAGGGTTACATTGTTACAGAAATGCAGGTAAATTTAATTTAAAAACTATATTTCTCAATTAAATAAGAGGAACTTTAGCTTCTACTACACTAACTTACACAGATTCCGCTGTAAATATTAATTATTAGTATATGGATTGGAGAAGCCGAAGACTTTGATGAAAATGTCACTGCAGATTTTGGAATAGTAGTCATTGTCGAAGATTTTACCTCAGATGATTTAAATGTAGCGACTGGCGAACGTATAGGAGAAGCTGACGATGCTGGTGATAATGGCACATAAGGTTCTGTAGTAGTAGAACTTGGAAAACTTTTTACTCCTGGTGATTGCAATTTAGCGAGTGTCAAACGTATAGAAGACGCCGGCAATGCTGATGATAATGGCACATTAGGTTGTACAGTAGTAGAAGATTTTACCCCTGCTAATTGCAATTCTGCAAATGGAGAAGGTATTGGAAAAAATGACGATGTTGGTGAAAATGGCACAGTAGGTTTTGGAATACCAGAAAGTGTAGAGGATTTGACTCCTGATGCTTCCAAGTCTGTTACGGGAAAACGGATTGGAGAAAATGACGATGTTAGTGAAAATGGCACAGAAGGTTTCGAAATATCAGTAATTGTTGGAGACTTAACCCTTGGTGACTGCAATTTTGTGTATGGCGAACACATTGGGGAAAACGCGGATGTTATTGAAAGTGGTACAATAGGTTTGGAAATGACACAATTTGTTGAAGATTGTTCCCCTGAAGGTTGCAATTCAGCAGTTGGAGATAGAGCCTCATGTAATGATAAAAATTCAGCAGGATGTACTTTTGGTGGAAAAATTGATGTTTGTACAGAGGTTATGGGAGACATTTTAAATTTTTTTGGTATCTGTTTAGACGACTCCACTTCAGAGAGCATTTGTGACGTTGGTTGTTCCTCGGGAAACGAATTGAAATTGTGAGACAAATAATCAAAAGTATTTGACGTTTCTTTCATATTTTCTTTATGCGATGAAATAGAATCATTTGATTTACAGCTATCGTCCACTGCAATAAGTTCGCCATCATACTGAAGTACGTCATATTCGGAGTACGATTCCATTTTTATGTCCTCATCATTTTCGAGGAAATTATTGTCTTCAACATACTCTACGTCACAAGCTATAGCGGATTTTCCCATATTCTCATAAGAATCTAATGACATCTGTTGAGATGCTTCTGACGATTTTGCGACATTCTGTAGGCCACATAACTTTGGAGATTCATCTGAACTGTCATAAAACTGTGATGTCTGATGCCATGAAACATTTGGTGCCTGAGGCAAATTAAAATCTGTAAGAAAAGTGTAGGTATATATGTCGGTTATAAAATGAATTAATTTTCATTAAATATGCCTCGGATAGATTGTATTAGGGTTCAAAGAAATTGGTTTTTTAATTCTTAACAAAACTAAATAGGTTTAAAATTTTTTTATTTCCGGTTTTGAAAATAATGAGATATTAATAATAAACCGACAAAGTGGGACCTTTTATAAAAAATTCGATTTTTAATTAATAAAGCAAGTTTTTTACGAAAGTTAATGTTTAGAAACGATTGTATCGATTATTTTAAAAAATAAAAAGGGAAATTAGACTTAATAAAAAATTTTTAAATGTTCTTTTATAAATAATGTTCGGAAATGTCGAAAATTTCAATTAAATAAACACGAAACTGAAGTTAAGTTCTAATAACTCGGTTATTTCTCGGAAGTTATTCAAGTTATAATTTTTTTAAGCTAGAAGCACCTGTCTGATGACAAACCAATAAGTTTAAAATTTTCTATTACTTCCGTTTTTGAAAATTACGATAAACCGACAAAGAAGGACCTTTTCTCTTCTTTAAAATAAGGAAATAAAATACTTAAATTAACAAAAAAATGTGTCAGGTCACCTATTTCATAGGTATTTTAAAATACAATCATTATTGTATTTTTTATATTATCTTTTACTATATTTCTTGTAAATATTATATTTTACTTAAATTTCTTATTCTAAATTTATATTATTTATATTTAGTAAAATAATAATACAAATTTATTTATTTTAACATAAAAAAATTTTCTTTAAAAAAAATTCCCGGATCTGACAAAAAATTCCCGGGGTTTTCCCGGATTCCCGGATCGCTAGACACCCTGATTTAAAAAAAAAAATTACACACCTACTACTGATAGCTGAGGATGAAGTACGGTCTTTGGTCTTTTTACTCTGCTATGCTCCGCCGTGAACAGCATATCCTCGTATAAGTACCATCCTGTATTCGAATTTTTATGGTGTCCATTAAACGATACTTTTAATTGCTTCCACCGATTTTGAGGATCTATAAGTTAAATGAAATTTTTTTATTAATTATTTCATTTCATGAGTAACTGTCAGGCATCATAGGTAGTCATCTTTTCACATTGTCATCTATTTACATAATTTTGATTACTTTTCTCTTTTACCTACGTTAATGTTATCTGATTTATTTCTTTGTCATCGAAACTGCAGAATTTTCATGTAAATAATTTAAAATATGCTCTTATTATTTGGAGTTATTAAAATTAAAATTTATAAATTCTTAATTTGATAAGAATTGCAAAACCTAATAAGATGACAAAACAGGGTGTCTAATTGAGGACCAGTGATGCCTATATACATAAATTTTGTTGAAAAATACAAATGTAGTAACTTAACCCCTGGTTGGAAATTCATGCGCATGAACATTTCCATGAACATGTGCCATGTACCTGACCACACTCAGTGTCTACCGCGTGTTCATGTGCATGGTTTTGGACCATGTCACATGCACATGATCAGGTACATATGTACATACTTCAAAAGTCTTTTACTCATGAACACGTAAATGATCATCAGCATGAACATTTACATGTTCATATGTATGCAAAATTGAATTTTGACATTTACATGAACATGCACATGTTCATGTAGATTCAATTCATTTAATTTATTATTTACGTTGGCTCATACTTGTCATTGCGCCTTTGTATATTTAGCCTTCTAAAATTCTATTATTTCTAAAAAAAATCTTAATTTCAGCTTTTTCAAAATTTAATTATTAAAAAAGTTTGTCATTTAAAAATTCTCTAAAATTCAATTATTGTGAAAAATTCAAAAATAATCTTTAGCAGTTAAAATTTACAAAAATGACATCTTCAATTCTACTGAAACTCAATTATATAAATAATATTGTAATTTATTTAAATTTGGAATAACTAAATTTTAAATTCATTAAAATTTAAATTACTTTAATTTTTATAGTTTAAAATTTTGATCAATTAAATTTAGATTATGGATTACAATTTCTATACATAATTGAATGTTTTCGTCATTAAAAATTGAAATTTATTCACATTTGGAAAAACAAAATTTTTATTTAATTGATATTCGGAATAATTTAATTTCAAATTGGTTAACATTTGGAATAATTGAATTTTTATTTAGGTACTTAATTTTCGGAATAATTGAATTATTAACTGCGATTAAAATTTAGAATAATTTACACAGTTGATACCAAAATTTTAGTTTATTTTTCCTTACTTTTCCCTCAATTCGAGACGGAATTTTATCTTTTTCTCTAACCCAAATGCAAAAGTTTCAAGAGGTTTTTAATAAGGTTATTCAAGTTGGGTGGGGGAAAGCCAAGATGGATGATGGCTGGTGCACAATCAGCCTATCAGCATTCATTCCCACACTGAAAAAGTCTTGGGCGTTTAGAATTCCCAACGCATGTATGAGAAGCACCAAATAAAGAGATTCTGCACAACTTCATTGTGGGGCTAACTGTTTCCCATCTTGGGTGCTCTGAGTGCCCAAGTCTGATGCTGCAGCATCACCAAATCTTGGTAACAATAACGTGGAACATCTGCTCGCCCAACATTTAGCATAGAGGTTGCTCAAAATCATGCTCCAGACACTCCAAAGCAAAGAGCTACTGCATTTCCACTGTTGGAACTGCTGATCGCTTAAGACTTTTTCAGTGCACGAGAAATTTCTCGTGGGAATGAATGCTGATAGGCTGATTGTGCACCAGCCATCATCCATCTTGGCTTTCCCCCACCCAACTTGAATAACCTTATTATAAAAAAATTAAAAGAGAATTTTTGAAAGTTAAAATTTGAATAAAAGTTTTCAAAAAACAAAAATTTTGTAACATAGGTATTTCTATAAATATTATATTTTCCCAGTAGTTTTGACACAATTCTCTGATTTTCCCCTGACATTTCCCTAATTTTCTTGATCCGCGGAAACCCTGTTAAATCTTTCTTAATTAAAATAGAAGTATTGTTTGATGTTTTTGTTAACTTTATCATTTTAAGTATTGATTAAAAACAACAAACCACTTGAAAATAAACATTTAAAAAATTGCATATAAAAATTTGATTTAAATAAAAAAAATTCGATTTTCTTGATTTTTTAAAAAATATCATGATTTTTTAACAGCCCTGCTTTGCTTACATATGAACATATATACCTGAATAAGTACCTGATCATGTGCATGGCCATGTTTACGGTTACAGTATATGACATAACCTCACAACAAAGACATTTGTTATGTGCGGGAAGTATACATATAATAATAAAAAATAAGAAATACCTGTAATATTACTGACAAACTTTTGTAATTCTTGTGCAATTCGAGCCCACGTAGCTGCTACAAATCCCGGTGGGGAAACACTTTTAACATAATCAATATATAAGCAAGCATTTGCAAAAACCATCTTCACCAACAATCTATCGTTCTGTTCTTTGATTAATTTATCTCTACTTTTAGGCATGATGATAGTCAGAAATATAGAAAAACATGCAATAAAAAAGCCGGCCGGCCGTCACCTAGCGTGTTTTGACTTGTTTTCTTTCTTCAGTGAACGAAATAGAAATGCACTTGTGTTCGTGCGTATGTAGCAATGTGCTGACCTGCGCAATGCATTGGAGGTTTGTCTTACTTGGGTGGAAAGGTTAGGCGCGAAAATTAAAATTCAGTTGTGGGAAACGAACAATATAGGATGCATGTATGACCGAAGTAGCGCGCGCTTATTTAAAATATAATGTCCATTATAAAAAGAGACATTCCTAAAAAAGGGTGAAATTTATATTGAATATATAACAAAAAAAATATCTCAATAAAAGATGAGTATTTAAAATATAAAATCTCAATAAAGGGGCGAAACATTGACAATATTTAAAGTGTAAACGAAAGTAAATTAATTACTACACTACTATTTTGTTTCCTAAATGAATTTAATTAATTATAAAACGATAATTATCAACTAAATTAATAATTTAAATATAAATATAAAATTAAATTATTTTAATTAACATGAATTTAAAACTTGGATACTTTTTGCTGATTTTTCTATTAAAAATAGAAAAAGCAATTTTCATTTACTATGAATATAGAAAGTAAAATAAATAAATTATAAAATCGTTCAAATTAACAGAAAGCAATTCAATTTAAAACAATTTTTAAATATAAGGAAATTAAAAAGGTTTTTTTTTATTTTTATTTATAAAAAAATATGAATATTTAAAATTGAATTTTATTTAAGAAATAATCATTTCTTAAAAAAGACTGGGAGAAAAGATCAAATGTAAAATATTGTTCAGGTTGGAAATTAAATTAAAAAATGAATTAATAGTTTTATGAATAGAAAATTAATTTGTATCTATTGAAATTTTCTTAAATTTAATTTTGTATCATTTCAGATTTGGATTTATTAAATTGAAATTTCAATCATTTTCACCACTAAAAATGAGGAATAATAAAAATTTTTGTTAATTGGAATTTGGATAAATTGAATAAAAATTTAATAACTTGAAGTTTTGGGATGATTAAATTTAAGGTTGATAAAAATATGAAAAATTGGAAATTTATACCTTTTAAAATTTTAATGAATTAAATGTGATCCCTGTTTCAATGAATTGAAAATGAAAAGTGGATGAAAATTTCCATAAAATAAAATTTGTATCGTTAAAATTTGGATACATTTGAAATTAAGTCAATTAAAATTAGGATAAACTGAAAATTAAGTCGATAAACATTTGGATGAATTAAAAGTTGATTCGATTTAAATTTGATAAATTGAAAATTAAGTCAATTAAAATTTGGATGTATTAATAAGTATTTAGAGAACAAACGGAAAGTAAATTATTAATCACAATTCAAATAAAAAATATAAAGCACAGTGAATCGGACATAAGGAAGCAAAGGAGACAGCCGCTTGCGGCCGTCGACTGCGCTAGTGATTATAAATAATGCTATTTAACAATAGTGTGATGTATATTAATAAAGCGCACATGATAAGGGTACTACATACGAAAAAATGCAGCCAAATTGGTTGTTCTATCGTTTTGCCAATTGATTCAGAAGAAGCCTTCTATAAAAAGAAAAGTATTCTCGAGTTTTCAACCGAAAAGTTTGAAATTAATTTCGAGAGTCTAATTTACATACCGTTCAGAGATAAATCTTTACCTGGCAATGACGATTATATTATAATCTTTAAAGCTAAAAATACAAAAGCAGTTTTTAAAAATCGATTTGTTGATAGTTCCAGCTTTGAAATAACTGCTGATGAAAAAACTGAACGAAATGAGACTGAATCTCTTTCACTATCTGAAAATAGTGATTGAAAAACTACGGAAGATGAAAATTCAAAACCGAATCCAGAAAAAGTTACCTCAGTTTCATCATTCTCGTCTTCAACTTCTAACATTCTAATTAGAATCCGGAAAAAATTTATCTGAAACAGAGGACGAAGAAAATAAAAATGTTAAACCAGAAAAATATCAATCTTTATCAAACTCTCCGGTAGATGATTGGAAAACGAATACAAGTAGTGAAGAAGAAAATGTAATCGAAAAAAGTGTTGAATCTAATGATGATTCTAATATCGAAGCAACTGAAAATGAACAGTTAAGGCAAGTGACTGAAAATAAGTCCAATGTTAAAATAATTGTAGAACAAAAAGCAGATCATAAATCGCTCTCCCCGTCTACGTCTGTAAGTTGTTTCGTTATTATTTCAGAATCCAGGGACGATGATTTTAATGCAGAGAAAAATATAAATAAAGACTCCGAAGAAGATGTTATTGAAAAAAATCGCAAAGAAGAAGCAAAAGAAAAAGCTAATAAAAATTGCCGAGCAACTACTGTTACCATGGAAAATTTCGATAATAATGGTGAAATTAATTCCTGATAGTCGTTCCTAGTAAAAAACATTGAATATCTTAAGAATCAAATCTCAAAAAAATTGTAATCACTATATGAAACTTTTATATAATTTTCTAATAAATCTTTATAAATAATTTGTTTTTTATATTATTATTATTACTATTATTATTATTACAAAATTATGTTTCCTCAAGAAATTTTTTCAAGTTAGTATTTAGATTATATTTTTATTCCCGAAATGCTATCAGATTTAAGATACTTAAATAAGCTTATATTTCATACAAAAATACATAAAATAAAAAAATACAGAAATACATACAAAATCACAAATTATTATCAATAAAGACATGTATTCGACATAAAATTGTATATAATTTGCCACAAGTATTAAATTAGAAACACCGATTTTACTTCACCGTTAAGTATTGAAGTTATTCTTTGAGATCTTTCGTCACGAATCGAGTCAAGACTATCAGCTTCGCGCTTTTCTTCTACTGCTTTCGTGCCTGCTTTTAATGGGATCCTGATTTTTGCCTTTATCGCATTATTTTAATGAAACAATGTCTTGTAATTTAGCTTCATCTAGAATTCGTTTTTCGATGTCACTGGATAACAATTTTGTACGTTTTTTTTCGGATCAACTTTTTCAGACGTTTCATGTCGTTTTCAGCCTTCTCAACGTGAAATCGTTTAACAATGTTTTCACTGCTCAGTGATAATGTTCAGGAACTTTGCTTTCGCTAGCGAATCGTTTCTTCCTCAACTAATAGTTTTCATCTCCTGAGTCCTGCTTTCTTTCTGTTATCGTAATAATCACTGCCACTTGCATTTGCTCATTTTCTGAAGCGTATCTTTTTTATCTTCACCAATTCCTTGACTCGATTCTTTTTTTTATGCGCTTCCGTTTTCTCCAAGTGTCATCTAAACTTGAAGAGTTATTTGAACTCGAATCAAAGCAACGGAATCACTGCTTCACTGTATGACGTTCTCTTTTATCGCTTTCTAGTGAGAAGTTGGTTCCACCATTACACTGAAAATTGAAAGTATTGTTTTATGAATGTCTGATAAAATATTCGAATTAATAGTAAAGTAGAATTAAAAAAGCATTTTTGTGATCTTAAGTTAATGTTATAGTTATGTTTATTTATTTATTTATTATTTATTTATTTCAAATAGTTATTTATGATACAAGTGCGTAAAGTCGTTGATTATACGAGTGATGCAAATCACACGAGTATAATCTGATTTACGCACGTGTATCATACAAAATTTTTTGCAACACTAAAATACTTGAACTTGCATCAATATTATATTGGCAACTTTGCTGCAAGTTTAGGTGAGGGGGGAGGGGTGTTTAAAATTAATAATTTGAAAAGCTTGTATTATAGATAAAATTATGTATCAGAATTAGCGATTTTTAGTCCCCTAATTCTCCTCTTTCTCTTTTTTTTATTAAGCAGTCAAAACAGTGCGTAAAGTAAATATCAGTGCATGAAGTGAATCACTTTACATACCGTTTTATAAAGAGGCACTTTACACACAGATTTCGGTGTGTAAAATTCAACTTTAGAGGTTAGTGTTGCAAAAAAAAATTCTTTGTAGTTCAACAGTAGTATACAGTAGTATAGGTATTTAACAGTAGTATAGGTTCAAAATAGCCTACTGTATTTTAAATTTCATAAACAAATTTTTATTCTTCAGTAAAAATTATTGGAAAATCTTATTTTTTGGTCATGTCAAAGTGGTGAAACCCCTTAAATTGCATTGAATATTGCTGATTGCAGTGTAAATAAAGATGATACCTTGAATATAACGAATTAGCCCTGCAGGGGAAGAAAAATAAGCCGCTAACATGTTTCTCTGTTCGTACGGATCATTTGCAACATTATTAATGAAAACGTGTTCGTTTCTACAAACGACATGTTCTCCTTCAACGACTCGTACGGGAACAGAATACCGCCTTCTGTCTGGAGGAATCATTATTTCATGTGTTATGATGAAATTGTGCAAGCATACACATGCTTTGACAATGTTTATTGAATTCTTCAATGAGAAATTGAGACGAGTGTGAAAAACTTGCCATTTGCTGGTCCACATTCCATATGTATCCTCTATGCAATTCCTTGCCCGAGATAACCTTGAGTAAGAGTAATTATTGAACAATATATTTATGTTGTAAATTTTGCTTAACGTATACTAACATAAATATTTAAATACACAGGCACGTAAAAAAGAAATATATTTTGGCCGAGATACTACAGAAGTATATTCTCATGTTTTTTTCCCCGCTGAATCCGAATCCAAAGTCAGAATAGTCAGATTAGCTATTGTTTTTGAGTTATACTAAAAAAACGAATTAAAATTTTAAAAAAAATTATTTTGCTATGACACTGCAGTAGCGTATTGGCGATTCAAACAGCTACACTAGCGCCACAGTTGAACTAACTTAGGCGTGACTCGCTCTAAAGCAGTCTCTGTTGTGACAGTTTATTTCAAATTATTTAATTATTCTGATATTTTTATTGCGTTTGTAAAATAATTTTTAAGCGTTAAATAAAAAAAAATAATTTAAAACACATGGAGTGCTACAGAGCGAGTCACGCCTAAGTTAGTTCAACTGTGGCGCTAGTGTAGCTGTTTGAATCGCCAATTCCCATTTCATTTTTCCCGCTGAATCCGAAGTCAGAATTGTCATACTTGTTCAGAATTTTGAGATAAACTCTAAAAACTGCTTTAAAAAACAAATGAAAATCAAATGAAGAACATTTTCTTTCGGCAGAGACACTTGCACTAGTGTATTCACATGCATTTTTTCCTGCTGAATCCGAATGTGAAGACCGAATTGTCTGATTGGCTCAAAATTTTAATATAAATAAGATGAAGTAAAAAATCTGCTAAAAATCATGAATTAAAGTCAAAAGAGTCAATTTTTGTTTGCTGCTACACTACGTTAGTGTATTGTCATGTACTTTTTCCTCAAATGCAAAATGCATATTTGGTCTCTCTTTAGTCATCTGAATTAGAGAGAAATACCTAACAAAGTGTCCGCAAAATTTTATTTTTAAAATATTCAATTTTACCCTAACTAAAAATTCAATTGATTTATATTTGAATTTGAAGAAAAAAATGGCTTTCAAATTTTATCGTCAGTTTTTTTCTTTCAGGCGGTCAATATTTTAGCAAATATTTAGTGTACAGTTTTACAATTTTTCATTGACTTTATTAAAACAAGCTGAAAAGTTCTAGAAAACTTAATTGACTATTTTAAATAGTCTGAAAATTTTAAGCATATTCTGACAAATGAGATGAAAATTTTTTAAACATTTTGGTGGAAGGGTAAAGAATTTAATTTTTAAACCTAAATCAATTAAAAGTTGCATTTAAATATAAAAATAAAAATTTTATTTCCATAAGAAACGATGTAGGTAACATAAAGTCTGGATCTATAATAATTTCAGTCAGCTGCAAATTTAAAATCTACTAAAATTTGAACAGATAAAAATTTTGATAAACTGAAATTTTATTATTTTCAGTTTAAGATTGATTAAAATTAGAATTGATTTTAATTTAGATAGTGAGAAATTTGGATGAATTTAATTTAGAGTGGATTAAAATTTCCTTCCCTTTAAGTTTTTGTCAATAAAAATAAAGATTGATTGAAATTTTGATAAATAGGAACAGTTTAGTAGATAACAATTTGCATAGATCAATTACAAATTTAAGGAGATTAAAAATTCGATAAATTGAAGTTTGGATCATTAGAATATAAGTAGATTGATTAGAAACAAAATTAATAATAATTTAGGTAATTTAAAATTTGTTGATGAATCAGATTTAGAAACGATTATTCTTTCTAGGAACAAATGTTTTGACTGATTAAAGTTAAGAATTTTTGCGTTACTAAATTTTAAATTGATTACAAAGTTTAATAAATTGAAGCTTTTATCAATTGAATTAAATTAAAAATTATTGATAAAATTTAAAGAGTGAAAAAATCGATGATTATAATTGAAAAATTTTGTTTACAGGATTCAGAGGAAAATTCCATGACTTCTCCAGGTTTTTTCCAGATTTTTAAAATTCCCTGATTTTTCCAGGTTTTCCAGGTAGCGTGGCAACCCTGCCCATGAATCTAAATAACGTTTCGAGCAAAAAATTCTTTGTAACATTCGTGATTTTAAGCATTTTTTGAGTTAATCTCAAAATTTTTATCCAATATTTCAATTCAGACTTCGAATTTTAATTCAGAGAGAAAAAACTACTGTAGTGTTATAGCAAAACAATTTTCCTTTTTTTGTTTCAATTGGTTTTGTTGAGTCGTTTTTCACTCGAAAGCAAGAGCCAATCTGACTATTCTAACTTCGGATTGGAAATTCAGCGCAGATAAAGACATGAGCATATACTGGAGTAGTGTCTTGGCGAAAAAAATTTGTTTTGTGTGCCTGAGCTATTCTCAAACCTGTAGGTAGATTGTAATTCATAGTAATTTATGAAAATGTTAAAATTTATATAAATTTTTTTAAATACATTTTCTTTTCACAGAAATTTGAAATTTTCAAAAAACGAAACCTGGCATGAACACTTCAATTTGAATAAAAAATTATCAACATCAGAATATCAAAATTGTATGTATATCAGTTTAATTAATAGTAATTAATACAATAATGATTTATTCGTTTAACTTAAATAGCTTTTATTGAAAGTGGTTTCTTCTCTACAGAGACGGCGGTTTCGGTTGTAGGGTAACATGAAATATCGCTTAATATCAAATATTGCATCTCCAATGAAAAAGAAGGGCATCCTGATATTGCTGCGTGGCAGAAAATCATCTTCCGGAAGGTCAACTTCATTTCGTTCAAGAGCTTGGAATAAATGAGTATTCCTAAACGCTGACAAGTCGCTGATAGAACCTAAAAGGATTTTAAACAATTTAGTCATTGATATCCCAGTAAACGAAAAGCAATTCAGCCGAAACAAAATGAATTAAGATTTTGAAATATAATTTACCGTAATCGCCGACGTTTACCCAAGTAAAACGGTAAAACGCATCACACATCGCCAGCAATTTGAAACTAAAAAATTTCTTATAACAGTAAAACATGCTTCCTGAATGCGGAGGAGCTTTTATTCTTATCTCCTTGCCGTCGAGGGATCCTAAGCAATGAGGAAAATTCCACCTTCTTTGGTAGCCCTCTGCAACAACTTTTAACTCCTCTGCTGACTTCCAGGCAAGGTAAATTGGTGACAACAATTCCCAAATGATTGGACACACTTCACCTACAATTTTGTAGGTGGTACTTTTACCTACATGAAATAAATTGGCTGTAGAAAACAAGCTGTCTCCGTGAGCCATGTAGCTGCAAATAAAACAAACGACTACATCAATATTTATAACCTGCTTTCTTTTTCGAAAGTATAAAAAAAAATTTTTTTTGCGAAAATAGTAGGGGAGAGTAGGGCTAATCCTGAAACAGATACTTAATTGATATATATTTGAAAATTTCTATGGAAGAAAATTTATATTTAATTGACGATTTCTTGAAATTAATAATTGATGGTAATGTTCATGTAATGCCATTAAAACCTTTACAAAAAATGTTTAAAAAAGTTCATCTTCGTCTTCAGATTCAATATTCGGCTCACTACAACAGTTTTGGCAATCAATTCAACTGTCAGTAGTTCACTCACCTATTTTATAAGCTTTACGTTGGCCATTCAATATACAAATTCTGATTTGTCCGGTTTAGCCCTACGCTGTCATCTCTGAGTAAAAAAACACGATGTTACGCAAATAGACAACTACTACTGTTACAGCAATAATGAAATGCCATAAAAACCTAATGACATATATGCATCATGTCAGGAGGTATTCAAAGAGTGTCTAAACTTTTTGATACTGTCCACTGTTTAAGAGATACTTGACCTGTCCGAATTAGCCTCATGTCCGGATTAGCCCCACCCTCCCCTAAGTAAAATTTGAAGGACATTTTATAATTATATAGAAAAGAAATATTTTTTTACGGTAGACATGATTAGTGAAAGCAAGATCGTACGAAACCAAAAGACAATACTATGTACATTACATCATAATTTTGATTTCACATAATGTCCTTGTGTAGGAGGGATGTAATGAAAATTAAATTATGAACTTTTCAGTTAAATTCATAAAGAAAATCGTAACTCTCAATTCGAGGTCTATGAAAAAAATTTTAATTTATAAATCTTCCACAACCAGAAAAAATTGTCTTTCCTTTAAAAGTTATAAAGCAATAAGTATTTAAAAATGGTGTAATAATGTATTAATATAATGATAATATCTAACCGCAAAATTTGAATGAGGCACTTTATCAACTTTATAGTTTTATCAATTGTCAATAAATTCTTCATCATACCTTAGTGTAAGGGCCAGTTTAAGCTCTCCACTCAATGGTTTCCTCAAACTAGTTTTCAGAAGCCTGAAGTGCAGAATGTTGTACAAGTTTTGAAAGCATTCAACGTCCATTCTGACCAGGTTGTAAAACTCCTCGGAGTCGTTATTTGCACAATACAAGAAGAGCATTTCATATGCCCCTATATTATCGCGCACTTCATTTATAATAAGTGGTTTCACCCACCATCGACGACCCTCAGCCATTTGTATCTGCTCCAAATACCTCCGCACTAAATTCAGTAGGTTTAGCCAATGATGCACAATCACCAGAATCATAAAATAGTTTAACATCCTTGCTGTAAAAAATTTTAATTAAAGATTCATATTTGAGAGTATCTATTCGGTTAATTAATTGTCAGAATAATATGGTATAATTACTGGATTAGTGCTCTACAAAATTAATATAGTTTGTTTATTAATAAAATTAAATGAAAGGAAGGTCACTGCTTGGTTAAAAAAATACTTTGTAACATATTCGAGAGAAAGTTAAGGCAAGCAAAGTTGGTAAATTTTAGAAATGGATCAAAATATGATGATAGTAATTTGTGAAAGAATCACCTAAAAGTAAACAATTTTAGTTTACATTGAAATGAAAAATTTTGTTTACTTCTCATAAGATGCAAAGAAATTTCTGAAATAGTAAAAAAAAATATTTTTGTTACAGTTACAGGGTCCTTCCAGTGTATTTCGCCCAAAATCATTGCGGTCTACTTTCAGAAAAAAAAATTACCATTTGTAATAATGATTATTAATATACATACAATTAATTTTTGTCAATTACTCAATGACATTTTCTTTATTTGCCTTTGAATTATAATTTGTAAGTAGAGTTGCAAGGAGATAATTTAAATTTACAGCTTCGTAAATGTAATAAAAAAACTTAGAAATAATTGTATATATTATCAAGTCTTTCATTACTTACACGCCGACTTGCGAACGAGAAGAAAATTAAATATACCCATCTAATACACTCTGCACATTTTAATCCAAACTGGAGAAAACCATTTCTTGCTGTAACTCGCGACAGTTGGTACTACGATGCGCGCGCAACCAAGTACAATTTATTTGCACTTGTGCAACACAAATTGTACCTATTGTAGAAGCAGCTTAAAGTGTGTTACATTTACCTACCAATCCCTGCTGTACATTTCCAGTTGCCGGTTTCACCACTAATTATGACTTTGACGCAAACAAAAATTGATATATTGAACATTATTACACATTTATATTATATTTATATGATTGACGTTTTTCTCACATTTTGATGGTACGTAAAAATTGAACATTTTTATCTATTTTACAATTGAATTTTGTGTTGTAATACTTTTTCGGAAATTTATTTTGGCGAATGCGTCCAGCATGTGTCTCGGCCAATAGAAAATTTTAAAACAACATTTTTTTTGTCTTTTTTCTTGATTATTTTTTACAATTTATTTATTGAAACAATTTAGTTCTCTGTTATAATTTCGCATATAGCGAAATTTGTTGGTTATGGCGGTCCTGTGTCAACAATTATCAGACGGTATTTTGCCACATTATTTAGGGAATTATAATTATACCTATTTGCTTTTTGTATTTTTCACTTAATTTGTTCAATTAATGAAAAATTTAATCGTGTATTGTACTCTTCGGAGTTTTTTTTTGTTTTGTTTGTTTATATGTTAATGTAATAATTTATTTGTTCATTTTTATAAATTTTATTTTCTCAGGTATATTTGTATTCACTTTATATATTTTTTAACGATCTGTTTTTTTTCATTCTTCTTATTTGTCATATTTTTTTATAATATATTATTAATTATATTATATATATTATAAATTTGAAACCTGAAAGACTTATAAAAATCGGACAAGTGCAAATTATACTTGCACTGAAATCGAGGGTTCTGTACACGAAGCGAACTTATTTGGTATTAAAAAAAATGTTTAAAAAATATAAGTTTGGGATGGCAAATAATGTAAATGATACGTAGAGAAAAAATTTTCTTAAATTTTTTTACAAAATTGTTCCTTTTTGTATCACTTATATTATTTGACATACCAAACTTATATTATTTTTTAAACATTTTTTTTATACCAAATAAGTTCGCTTCGTGTACGTAATCCTCGATTTAATTTTATGAAATTTTATTTTCAATTTAAATAAACATTTTCTTTTTAAAAAATGTGTAAAGAATATCGAATAAAAAAAGGAAGAATAGGAGGAAGAAAAAAAAATTAGAAAAAATTAAATAAATCAGAGAAACGAATAAAAAAATTATGGAAAAAGTCTACTTTTTTCAAAAAATTTTCTTTTTCGAAAAAAAAATTAATTAAAACAACTTTTTATTATTATTTTTAAATTATTTCTATAATCTGGTCATAAAAATACGTAAAAATGAATAAATTTGAAGACCTTTAGAAAAAAAATTTCTTCATTATTGGAAGAAAATTCATGATTTTTTCTAAAATTATCAATTTTTTCTTGACAGAACCAGATCCATCAACTTTAATCGTCCTCGCTCGAGAACACGTGATATGACCAAACTTTTGATACTGAAAAAGATTTTTCCATGAAAATTAGTGAAAATAATTCCTATTTTCTTTCTGGACTAGAATTATCTAAAAGACAATTTTTGTCTCTCTTTCTGAGACGAAAACACAGTAGAAAAAGCACCAAAGAACCCGTGACACGACCACTTTTTTTTGACAATGATTTTTCTTTGAAATTTACAGAAAACAAATTTTGGTCGTGTCACAGGCTATCTGGTGGTTTTTCTACTGTGTTTTTCACCTGAGAAAGGGAGACAAAAATTGTCTTTTAATTAATTCTAGTCAAGGAAGAAGGTTGGAATTTTTTTCTATAGTTTTCAAGGAAAAATCTTTGTTAAAATCAAAAGTTAAGTACATTAAAAAATTGTATTAATTCTTTTTTTTAACAATTTCAGATCTTGGATTATACGACCTTTTCGACTTGGTGAAATTCAATTATTTTTATTAATTTTAATATTTCTTTCAAAAATTTAATTATTTAATAAAGTTTCAAATAAAAACTCCAAAATTGAATTGTTGGCAGAAAATAAATATAAAAAAAAACTACAACAGATAAAATTTACAGAAAATTTATTTTCAATTTCAAATCTTCTGCAAAATTTTTTTGACCATTAAAACTAAAATTTTAAATTCAAATAAATTGCTTATATCAGACTTCAAAAAAATTTTTAAAATAAAACTTTAAAAATTTTTTTTAAACAAATTTGTTTTACTTAATTAAAATGTAGAAAATTTGTCTTAGTTTGATTTTAAAATATTCGAAATAAATTTTCTTGATAATATTCTTAGAGAATTATTATTATTAAAATTTAAGTAAAATGAAGAAATCGATTTTTTCACCTTTTTTGGAATGTAAATCGACTAAAATGATTTTTTTTTTGCATCCTACAGTCGATCCAAGGCCTGCAATTTTACAATAAATTTATCAAAAATACAAAATTGTTGATTGACAAATTTACAAAAAAATCGGACAAGTGCGAGTTACACTCGCATTAAAACCGAGGGTTCCGTACCCCTAATCCTAAAATTTGTTGTGGAGTGGAGGTCTTTCTTCTATCATTTATTTATTTTCAATATCATAAGTTTTTAAAATTTTTTTAATTTTTTTATCATTTAACATTTTCAATTTTATGATTTTTTTTAGATTTCACGAAATAATAAAAATATCAACAAATAAAAAATGTCAAAAGATAAAAAAAATAGCAAATGGTAAAAAAAAGAAAATGGCAAATTATAAAGAATGGCAAAACACTACAAAAAATATAGCAAGCACAATGGGAGTTCTCGCTATATTTTTTTGTAATCTATACGCAAAAATACGTAAAAGTGTATGAATTTGAAACTCTTTAGATAAAATATTCTTCGTTTTTGGGGAAAAATCATGATTTTTATCGAAAATTATCAGTTTTTCCTTGAAAACACTATGATAATTAACTCCAATCGTTCTCGCTATATTTTTTTTGTAATCTACACGTAAAAACCCTATTGAAAAAAAACACGTATAATTGTACGTATAATAATACGTATAATTATACGTATTATTATACGTATAATTATACGTATAATTATACGCATAATTATACGTATTATTATACGTATAATTATACGTATAATGAGACATACGAATTTGAAACAAGAATTATACGTATAATTATACGTATATTAATACGTATAATTAATTATACGTATAATAATACGTATAATAATACGTATAATTATACGTATTATTATACGTATAATTATAATTCTATTAAAAATAGAATAATAGAATAGAATAGATTAATTAGTAGCAAAATTGCGCTGAAAATTTTTAGAAATTTTAAAATGCAAATTAAATTTCACGAAAAAAAATATCGTCGAATGTCAATTCAAGCAGTCACCCATCCAAGTACTAACCGCGTCCAACGTTGCTTAACTTCCGTGATCTGATGAGAACTTGTTCCTTCGCCTTGGTGTTTCCGCTGTCTTGTCTTGATTAATAACTTTGTCGTATAAGTATTGTATCGCACCTAACCTCACTTTTAGTGATACTTATACGACAAAGTTATTAATCAAGACAAGACAGCGGAAACACCAAGGCGAAGGAACAAGTTCTCATCAGATCACGGAAGTTAAGCAACGTTGGACGCGGTTAGTACTTGGATGGGTGACTGCTTGAATTGACATTCGACGATATTTTTTTTCGTGAAATTTAATTTGCATTTTAAAATTTCTAAAAATTTTCAGCGCAATTTTGCTACTAATTATTCTATTATTATTCTATTCTATTATTCTATTTTTAATAGAATTATAATTATACGTATAATAATACGTATAATTATACGTATTATTATACGTATTATTATACGTATAATTAATTATACGTATTAATATACGTATAATTATACGTATAATTCTTGTTTCAAATTCGTATGTCTTATTATACGTATAATTATACGTATAATAATACATATAATTATACGTATAATAATACGTATAATTATGCGTATAATTATACGTATAATTATACGTATAATTATACGTGTTTTTTTTCAATAGGGAATACGTAAAAAAGTATAAATTTGGATCCCTTAGGATAAAATTTTCTTCTTTTTTTATTCGAAAAATCCATGATTTTTTCTAAAAATATGAGTTTTTCTTAAAAACAATATGAACATTAACTCCAATTGTGCTCGCTATATTTTTCCTGTAATCTACACGCAAAAATACGCACGTATACTAAATATGAACTGCCTTCGTTAAATATTGTGTGCGCTAGGAGGATTAATCGCTTTTTTTCAAAATTTTTGATTTTTCCTTGACAACGCTATGTAAATTAATCCGAATCATGTTCGCTATATTTTTCCTGTAATTTTCACGTAAAAATACATTAGTGTACCAAATTTGAGCTCTCTATGTAAAAAGATGTGGCAACCAGGGGGGGGGGTACATAGTCATTTTTAGGGATTTTTCGTAAAAATTCATGGTTTTTCCTTGACAACGCTATGATAATTAATTCCTATGAGATTCGCTATATTTTTCCTGTAATCTACACGCCAAAGTACATATGTATACCAAATTTCAGCCCTCTAGATAAATTCGTGTGGCCGCTAGGGGAGGGGTACATGCCTTGCTTCACTAGTCTCATTAATAGGGTTCCCCCTTCGGGTACGGAACCCTAATAAAAAATACTAGTCTCTTTTTTTTGTAATTCAGAACAATAATTCTGAGTTTCGTAATAGTTCGATAATTGTTCATTTTTTATTTTTTATAAATAAAAAAATAATAATAATTTTTTGCAGAGAATGAATCCAGTAAATTTAAATTCAATGAAGAAGAAGTTGATTTAATTATGCCGAAAGATCGAATAATGTTACAACGATCAATGTGGATGCAATCACTCTCTCTATCGACATTGAAAATGAATAATATTTGAGCTGCTTCACTTG